AGGGTTCTCTGTTCTCCTTCTACAGCCCAAAGGCATAGCTGTTTAATCTCAATTTTTTTCTAAATTTATAGCCAAGTTAAATGTGTTAGAAGAGTAAAATGCATTTCCACAGTTGGCTTAATATAATGAAATCATAAAAATAGAAAAATGATTGCAGCTTTAAATTTACTGCTTGGTCAAAATCTTACCTAGACAATCTGACAGGAATCTATGTGGAACTTTAATGCTAAATTTAACTTAACTTGCTTTCAGACATTGTCCACATGTTTTGAGTTATCACTGAGATCAGGACTATCCAAAAGCATAATGTAAGCCTTTTCTGGGTAATTTTCCTCTTAAAACAGCTAACTGAGTGCATCTTTGTGAATCTGATAACACATCAGCAGACTGTCCGCCTGATTCCAGTGTCATGTTTGACAGGTGTGCAGTGTTTTACGTTTCAGTAGCCTCATCTTGACCCCTTTCAGCATTGTGGCCTGCTTCTTCTCTTGGAGCTATTTGCTTTATTTGAGTTTGCAGTTGTCAGATTTGGAGCTGGAGATTCTTTTTTTTTTATTCAATATCTTTTAGTCTAAATAATGCGAAGGTTCCAAGTATGAGGGGATCATCCTTCTAAGCCTCCCCAGGTAGGCCCATACCAGGGTGCTGCAGAGGAGAGTCTGCCTGTTTGCCTAACTTTGGCTTCAGGAATAGCAGTGTGGTTTTCTTTCAGCCCAACACCCTCTGCACTGCTTGAGTTGTTTATTAGAGTTTTCCCAGCTGGTCCACATTTGTTTTGTGGACCTGGAGAAGGCATTTTTTGTCCTGTGGTACTAAGTGAGGATCACCCAGAATTATGCAGTTGGGGGCCCTTTACTAGGGGCCATCTGTTCTCTGTACAGGCAGAGAGGAAGTCTGTTCCGCATTTCTGGCCATAAGTCAGACCCGTTCCTGTTGCATATTGGCTCCTTCATGGACAGGATTTCTAATCACCGCCAAGGGCTGGAGGCGGTCTTGTTTTGGGACCTGTGGATTTTCTCTCTAGTTTTTGGGGATGATGTAATTCTGCTTGCTCCTTTGAGCCAAGACCTACAGCAGGCACTTGGTCAGTTCATAGCTGATTGTCAATCAGCTGGGATGAAGATCAGCTTCTCCGGGTCTGAATCCATGATTCTCAACTGAAAAAAAGCTGTTTGCCCTCTTCAGGTCAAAGCATAGTTAAGTAGGGTCAAGTCCTCTTTCAAGTAGAGGATTAACTATCTAAGGCTCTGTTTATTAGCGAGGGGAGAATGGAGCAGGGGATGGACATAATGTGGATGCTGCACCTGTCTGTTGCGCTGAAGAAAGTGCCAAGTCAGTCTACCTTCCTACCCTCAGCTATAGTCATGAAATCTTATTGACGACTAAAGGAACAAGGTCCTGGATACAAGTAGATAAAATTATATTCCTTCTCAGGAATGTCTCCTTCAGGAGGTGTTCAAGGCCCAGGACAAGATGGAGGGACTATGCCTTTTAACTGGCAATCAAAAACCGTCTGGCTTCCACGAGAGAAGCTGAGCAATATATCTGAGGAGAGGGAAGTTAGGAGAGGGAAGTATGGGGCTCCCTGTTGAGGTTGCTGCTCTCACAACCCTGGTATGGGATTAAGCAAAAGAATGATTTTGAGTATGAGTAATGGTAAAGCGTCATGGTCAGTGCTCCCTCGAAGATATGAGCCTGCGCAATTGGGAACTCCTCATGCATTCCCAGTGCACGAGAAAATCTATATCAAACAAAATCCAACATAAACTGTAAATTAATTATGCTACGTTCGCACCGGACGCAGCAGGTGTGGCAGAAGCAGCGACTTTACATGCAAAGTCATTGGTTCACGTGCGTCAAGGCGCAGCAAAAGGTCCCGCAGCACGTTTTGAGCAGCAGGCGCAGCGCGTCTGAGCAGCTGAAGCAGCGCGTCGGGAGCGCCACATCAACCAATCAGAGAAGCTGATCTGGGAGCTGGCCGTGAGACAGACACATCGCTGATGATACAGAGCGCTGTGATCACTCCTCTAAAACAGTTTATTAAATTAACTTAAAATGCTGAAACCTGCAGGCAGAATATGTTCGCTTTTATTATCCCGGTGCCTGCAGTTTGGCTTATTTAGATGAAAACCACCTACCAGCTGCCGCGGTGAACCGCGAGGAGGCGACCTGGCCAGAGGCTGCTGTTGAAGGGATTCCTACTGTCGGCGCACCGCCGGTATGTCGGGGTCTGAGCGGCTCCGACAGAAATAATATTAGAAGGCAGGATGATAATCTGAATGAACTGACTGCACTGATTAAGTTTTTAGGTGGATTGTCTCACTTAAAAACATATTAAAGCTACAGTGTGTAACAATTACAGGGATATACAGTCAGAAATGTAATATATTATACATAACTATGTTATTTTATCATCATCTACGAGCTCAGCCTCTTAACCTTAATATTTGCGTTGCCTTAGAATTCGTTATTTATAATTACATAGGAGCGGGTCTCGCAGCCATGGAGGCAGACATCTTTGCGCTACGGCAGCACAGAGCCAACAAACTAGCGATTGCGAGATCGCCAAAATGTCACAACAATGTAGAAAAAATAACGGGTATATTTATTATCTTAAGTCTACATGAAATCTATACCCTACACAGACTAATGAAATACTATCTGTAAAATTATCTATGTAAACAAACCTCATCACTTGAGAAGGTAGGTGATGCGGGCGTCGTGGAAGACATTTTGTCCCGTAACGCTCGCCGTACTGTTGGGGGGGAGAAGCGGTGGGGGGGAGATGTTCATGTTGCTGCAGTCTGCAGTCTGACCGCTAGATGTCGCTAAAATTTACACACTGTAGCTTTAAAACTACTTTATTCCCACTGATCACAGCAAATATTGCTGCAAGGCAAAGAAAGGATAGAGTAGCTACGCCCAATGCGCGTCAGACACACTTTTGGGCTGCGCAGCGAGAGCAGCAGAGCTGCTTCAGCTGCGCGTCAGAACTAACTGGTACAAGCAGCAAAAATGAAGCAGCAGACGCGATTTTGCTGCTCTTGCTGCGTCCGGTGTGACCGTAGCATTAGACTGTTAAAAAACAAAAACTTCTGTATTCTTTTGAATCGGTGTATCATTCTACAGAGAAAAAACGGACAGCTCTGCAACCCCAACATGCACACAGTTTGGGACAGACCTGTACATTACGCAGCTCGATGCTCCATATGACCTTTCTATTTGTTTTTTTGCTAAATTCAAGTACATGAAGCAAAAATATAAACAGGAGTCACATTCTCAGATATAGTGGCTTAGATGTGAGAAACTAAAGATATCACAGCATGTGGATATTTGTTTTACATTCATGCATCCAGTGCTGATTGCGCAACAGGTTTAGTTTAATGAATCATATCAAAAAGCGTCTTAAAGTGTCATCGGAGAAAAATAGATCAAATTTAAGTCAGATTTGGTCATATTCTAGTGACATTTACTCGTTTTTTTATTTATTTATCGATATTAATCATAAAATGCTCAAACTTAAATTTACAGGAATTTATGTTGTATCACAAGCTTCAGCACACATTTCATTGCAAAAAATGTGAAAAATGAACAGGACCCTCCCCCGGTCCAAAACTGGATTTACCATTTATATTTTTTTTTACCGATCTCATGAGCAACTTTTTCAAATCACTTAAATTAAAAGTAAACTAATGGAAATCACTGCTGCATTCTTTCACTCTATTAATAAATAATGTAACTAGATATGATCAATATCAATAGTTATGAGAGAGTGATCAAATACTCAGCTTGCATATGCAATGATGAAGTTGACACAAAAAAGCCCAGACTTTTACAGATAATGAGTATATTTACACTTAAAACTGTAGTATGTTATCATGTGTTTATGTTAAATTTCTATCAAGCTGAGGTATTTCTGCCCTCTGCTGTGTTAAATGTAACACCTCCCCCTCAGAACTGTGTTTTTTCCTTCATGCACACCTTCAGGCTGAAAGAGTTGACTTCTTAAGCCACCAATACTTTCAAGCCCCATTGGATAATGGGCCATGGTAGTGCCTACCCTAATTGTGCTTGTTGACAGTGACTCGGCCTTGGTTTGCGACTGGTGCTGAGTGAAACCGTTGAGAGGCCTGGCTTCCAATCCACTTCCTGCCTCCCCTCCTTACAATGGAAGTTCCCAGTCATGTGACCAGCCAGCCTTCCCGGACTGAGCAGAAAGCGTCCAGGAAGGGAGCTTGGGTCAGAATGAGGAGGGGGTTCACTCCTCCAGATGGCATAAATAGTCTCAGGGGAGCCACTAAATCTGGGTAGTTGTGTCACATACGTCAGTGAAGTTCCTGACTGGATGAACTTTGTTGATTCAGTCAGGAAGAGACTGAATCAGATGGCCCACTTGTTGTACAAACAAATCCTTACCGTTGCTGCATTGTTCAGATTCCAGGGTTCAAAGATTTTCATCTTGGGAATGTTTCTCTGCTTAATGGATCAAATGAAATTAGAATACAGCTCAAGCAGTTCTATTTTTTTATTTTATTTATTTTTTATTTAAACTTTATTTTACCAGGAGGTCCCTTGAGATAAAATCTATTTTTCGAGGGAGACCTGGCCAAGAGGCAGCAGTACAGTAAGACATATAAAAACACAGGACAACATAATAAAATCAATCATAAACTAGACTCTAGAATAACAGTTAGAATTCTCTGTGCAAGAGGTTTTCAATAGTGATTTAAAATGCTGTAGCGGAATAAGAGTCCGCAATTGCAGGGAGTTTTGAATATTGTGCCACGACCATGTTGCTGCATAAAAAAATGATGTTTTGCCAAGATCTGTGTTGATGCTGGGAATAGTGTAAAGAACACGACTTGAGCTAGTTGACTATATAAAAATAATTAAGAGGTAATGTGAGATTTTTAAATGTTCACTGCTAAGGGTTTTTAGCACTTTACCCTAAAAACAGTGCTTGTGTATTCCTCACATCCATGTTTCTTCTCCCTTTACAGGGTCTTTGGTATCGCCCCCATTGTCCAGACCAACTGTTCCTGCACGTGGAAGCTCACGGTGCACCCGGATCGTAAGTGGTACCACTTTGTCAATCCCATCATGCTGCTAATCCTCTATTACACCCTGGCCACACTCATCCGCCTTTGGCTGCAGGAGCCCATCGACCAACTCATGGTAAGGACAACGGATAGACGCAATGTCAGAGCAGGGATATTTTCAGTTAAATTAATTTATAGTATTGGTTTTGCTAAAAAGAAACACTGTTATCAGAAAATGTTTATTCTTTTATGTAGTTTATATACAAACATGCTAAAGCAGTGGGGTCAACTTCACTTCCTGAAGGTTGTTGATCCCAACGTTTTAGCAGCATGGGCTTTTTTTTCCCCAACACTTGAATGCAAGATACATTTCCCTTCAGAATTTTAAACTGTCACTACTGTAATATAATTACTGTGTTAGAATATGTAACAAACATTTCAAACTCCATGAGAGCAAGAGAGAAATGCAAAGAAAAACAAAACACTTAAATTCCTACTGGAATGAAGCCATCAACGCCAACCTATGGCTACCCAACAAAATCTCACTGAGATACCTTATTGATCCCATGTAAACCTCAATTCCTATGTAAGATCTATACATTTTTTTTAACATAATAAAATATGTAGGTATGGGACCCTGCTTGTGTACCATATTGTCTTTTACAAATGTCTTCCTAAGTTGGGAATGTGTTTTATACTTTTGCTGGCAAATGTTTAAATTCCCTCTATGAATTTTTTTTTCTCCAGTCAATGCTTTTAGTTTGAAGTCCAGCATCCACCATCATATTTGTATGTAAAGTTGTATTTAGGTGTGACATCATGCTAGTATTTGAAAAGGCAAATTATACCTTTGGTATTCTAAAGGAGCATTTACCCTTCCTCCAAATTTTCAGCAAATAGCAAAAAATGAAGCAGAGTAGTACCAGTGTGTACCCCATGAGCTATGTTCACATATGTTTCAGGCTAGTGATAATATCTGAAGTGTGGGAGTTTGAGGCCCTGTTGTGGTTTTGCAAATTGCAGTGTTTGAAGTCTGGCCCCTGGGCGCCACCCATGCCATATAACATGTTTGATTTAAAAAATGAGGGGGCCTCTGCAGAACTCAGGAGGTAATGCAGCCATTTTAAATGAGCTTTGTCAGATCAGGCATACGTCTTAAACCTGCACAATCACATTCTCTCTGAATCCGGTTCAGACAAAACTTCTCTAACTCTCTACTTTATATCTCACTTTCAAAAGTGAAAAAATGTTTCAGATGTTTTGGTTCCTTTATGCTTAATGGCCTCCGTTCAGACTAATACATTTGCCTATCTTTGTGGAGTAGATTAGCACTTTTGAGTGCACAGAAGTTTCAAATACAACAGATTTAAGGCTTTTTGCACTTTTTCATGCATCTCCTCTTCCAGTTCTTGATCTCAATCTGTCAAAGTCAGTCTTAATGCTCATTCGCAGCCGCTCCCTAATCAATCTTCTTGAAGCAGGAAACAACTAAAATGAAGGATAATCAGCTAATTGTATTATTTATATGGTGAAAATGACAGCAGACAGACCCTTTTATCACATTTTCAGATGATCAAATTATTAGTTTGTCAAACAATTCAAAGTAAAGTTCAAAGAAAAAATGTTAAAGAATACGTGCAATATGATAAAATGAGCACTGTTTCAACTGCAACAATAATTTCTACTAAGAAAACAATATAATTGTTTTTTAATCTTGTTTTTTATTTTGATCTTAAACTCTCGACTTCCTCTACCCTTTACCCAGCTGACTAACAGAGTGCAGCAACATGTGGAGGGGATTTTCTACTATGAACAATAGAAATATTGTGATAGAAAATTAATGTTTTATTCAAGAGCAATTAAGCCTCATGCCAGAAACTTACTTTGAAATAAATGATGTTTTACAGAAATTTATCGTTTTTACAGGTTATATTGCAAGTTTTGGTATAGCACTGATATGATGGAGTCAACAAACTTTATTAGGCATAATTCTGATGTTTTGGAGCCTTTATCTGTACATTACATATTTAGATATTTTCTGATAAAATACAGTACAAAAGTGTCCCCTCATTTAATCTTACAACTGGATCATATGGACCGTTTCTGCCATCTGCCAGTCTGTTGCAGGGAAATACAGAGACACATGAACATGTACTTACACATTAACACATAAGGGAAATTTAGAGCACAGAAACCGCTGAAGGAACAGGCAAAATCCATGCAGAAACACCCTAGGCGAGAATTAAAACTCAGGACCTGCTTGCTGTAAGGCAACTGTGCTACAAACTGCGACACCATGCTGCTGTGGAAATAATCATTTAATAAAAATATGCATAGGCAAATTTATCCACACCATTTTTTTAATAAAGCCATTAAGGAATGTTTGCAGTTCTGAAGAAAGTCGACTGCTGGCCGGAATGTCTGCCGTGTCTAATAGTGTGTTACCTGAGACACTGCGGGTCTGATTCTGCCAAAGCCTGCAAAGCAGCACAAATTGTCTCAATATTCAGACATTAGACCTCCAAATAGAAGGCCTTTATGATTACAAATGTAGCAACTTGTTAAAATTTATAGTGCCATTATAGGATTTTACTTTGTTGATGTTACAGTTCCAGCTCGTACATGCCGATGACATGTTATAGTTAATGGCCGGATCATATTTGAAGTATGTCTTTGGACTGCACAAAGTTTGAATTTTTTAATAAGTGTGTCATATCATGAAGTCATTTCAAAACAGCCTCAGCTCACCCAAGTGCTGCACAAGCTATTTTGGACCCCTAAATGTATTCAATTCCACCATTCACTAGCTCATTGTTCCTTGAGACGACGTCACTACCTCCACTAGTGATTGAAACCTCTTGTGACATGGTCACCTTAGAAAAGACCTGCATCTGTCTTCCTCCACCTCAGAGCTCCAGGCTCCGCTCCTCCATCTCGTAATGGAGTTATAGATTAGTGTTTTTATAGAGGGGTCAATACTTCCCTTCAAACCTGTAGGGCTGTATGCATTATTGATCTGTCCACAAAGTGATGTGTGTGCCTTTGTCTGTGTGTGTGTGTGTGTTTATGTTTTTTTACCTACTCTTACACTTTAGATTAGAGGCTAATAATAAAACATGATTGGTGTCTAAATCACATACTGACAGGCTTGTTCGATAGTGGAGGTGCCAGATTATGATGGACCTTGTCTGTGACAAAAAAAAAAGATAAGCACAGATGGATATCTTAATGTCTTATGTGTCTAAAATTGTTAGTTGAAAATGTTAAGACACGAAAGCAAAACTGGAAGAACATTAATCATTTTTAAAATCTTTCATTGGAATCTAATTTTAAATTTCCTAACAGATTCCTTGTTTTATGTGCGCTTCATTTACACATTCTTAAAACATTATCACATTCTTATTAACACATTCTCTTAATTTGGGGGGTTTATGATTTTCTTATCGCATTTATTAGTATTCTTCATAGCATACCAGAGAGCTACAGTACTGAAACCAGCTCATTCTACAGTGTAGAAAGGATTACTACAGTCACTGAAAAAAATATGCTGCCAGTGACCCTACAGTAGGCTCATCAAAAAACAAAACAAAAAGGGAAATACTTTGTTTAAAAGAAAAAAAGAACAGTTGAGGGAGGGGGGCATCCTTTGTGTTAAGGAGGCTTATGTCTTTTAATGCATACAGAAATAGGTTTAGAGGTTCTTTATCATTTTGCAGCCTCTGGTTCAATCTTTTTTTTTAGTTGTTTGTCGGTAAAGTAGCATGAGGGCCAGGGATCCCCACCGATGGGACAGGATCATCAGAAGAGCTGGCTCAGCTCAGTGATTGCTCTCAGGTTGAAGACATTTCAGACAGAAACCTTTATCCATCATGGTCAATTCAGACCATCCCTTCCACAAAACACCAGCTAAATATTTTTTCTTGCACCACTTAATCATCATCATTCTTGATCACAGTTTTTCAGTGGTTCGTCTACAAAGGCATCTAATTCCAACAAAAACACTGAAATACCAATGAAGTACCAGTAGGTGGCACTTAGGGATGTGCCAGTGCCGATGTTCTGAACTCCCACATTGACAAAAATTAGTAAATTTTAGTTTTTTTTCTTTTTCTTTTTTTTTTTTTTTTACTAATTTGACATCTAACTGAAAAAAGAACCTTATGAATGCATCCATGTCATGAATACATCTAATAATGAAAGTAGGCCTCTTACCTCTGTTTTCTTACTTAACTCCAAATCAAGAGCATCAAAGTACTTGGAAAATAGCAAATGGGTTTTTTGCTCCAAATGCTAAAAAAATATATATATGTAATTTCCTCTTATTCCACAGTTTTTTTTAACTGACAGAGACTGTCAAAATAAAACGTATCGTGTTTTTAAAAGGTCACCCAGCTTTATCCTGCATTCTGCATTGGCTGAAACGTGTATCAGTAACATTGGCAAGTGAACCAGGAGCTCAGTTTTTAAGATACACATCCAACAGAAAACTGCATATCTGTGTTTTTTCAGGATGATAAGGATGAAGATATGTATGAGGAAGAGGAGCAGACTGGAAACGGACTGAATAACTTTGCCAACAGGAAGAGGCAGCTGTGGTGGGAATCTCGCCAAGGCACTGACGAGAAAAATGTATGTTATGCATGAGCTGTGCTGCATTGATTATTGGACACTTGATTAAGTAAACATGATCCTGTTTATTATCTAAATGTGAACAGTGCTGAGAATTGAAATAGGATTAAAGTCTTCTTATGAGGAGGCTTTTTACAAGGTTTTTTAGAAGATTTAGTTGAAAATGAAAACTATAATATTTCAGACTAATTTTACCTTTAGATTTAACTTAAAGCTTTATTATGCTTTATTAGCATTAGGAAAAATGGAAGCTGTTTATTGCAGATTTCTTTAGTGTAACATCTCACCCCCTTCTCACACAAACACTTTCTGACATTGTTCTTATATCAACGTGTAGTCTGTCCCTGGCGGCCACCTCCAGCTATCTGGAGCCTTTTAGTGTGCACACGCTGATGAACAGTTGGCCGGATTTACAGAGCAGTTCAGCTCGACTTGTTCCTGCTTATCATTGGCTGTAAAAAACAAGGAGGTCCTTTGACTTCAGCAGCTTATCGATAACACACTTCGCCTTGTATGCTCTTTTTTTCCCCTTCCTAGCTTCTCTCAACCCAGGATGGAATCAGTACAACTGAGGTGCGGCTGCTCTGGATGTTTTTCTTAATTTCTCTCCTACTTGTGTGTTCTTCAGAAGGGAAATTAATGAATACAATCTGCTTTTCAGACTGCATACAGTGCTAAAGCTTTGCAAAAATAATCCTTCAATTGTTCCATATTTTCTTTCAGAACTACAACCTTAATTGTTTTTCATTGGAATTAAATGGTATTTATCCATATAAAGTAGCACATGATTCTAAAGTGGCTGCATAATTACTAGAGCATTAATCGGAGAAGAAGCGACTTTGCTCCTAGAGGAGCTGCAAACATCCACAGCTCAGGTTTGAGCATTAAGTGTGTCAAAAGGAATATACTATAACACATGGTACCACTATAACACATTGTGTTGACAGCATCATGCTGTGCTTCTTCCACTAGACCGAAAACTACCTAACAGAGATACCAGGAAAATGTTTATATCAAAGCTCAATCCTTTTTTTCAAATGACCTAAATTTCTTGCTCCATGAACTCTAATTACTGATAGAGTCTTATTATACTTTTACCTGTTAAAAAAAACTAAACATTGAGTATTTACATATAATGACCAAATTCATCAGACCTTGTTGGAAAAGAATGTAACAAGTAAAAAACTTTAACAATGATATGATATGAGTTCCTATTAGACCAAATATATTTAAAGTTGTTGTACTAAAGATTAAATTACAATGATATGAAACAATGTAGTTGATAAAAGACAGATAAAACCAATAATGGTCACAGAAAAAAACTTGAATCTAACTTAAGTGAGAATAAATAAGCATTTTATGAAAGGAACAAAGGAAAGTCAGATAGTTTTCATCTAGGCTTCAACTGAATTATAGAAAAACTCAAAAAAAACTGACCTGGACAAAAATGATGGTACATCTTGAAAAGACTGAAAATAATGTGACTAAAGCTTCCTGTTAAATCAAGGTGTGTCCGCTAATTAGCATCACAGGTGTCTACAATCTATTAATCAATCAGCAGGCAGATATTTAGAGCTACAGATCAGTGTGCTGTTTGGTGACATGGTGTGTACCACACTCAACATGGTCCAGGGGAAGGGAAGGAAAGAGTTGACTCTGGAGATTAGAAAGAAAATTATAGACAATCATGTTTTGCAGCTTGCTGTTCCTAAGACTATAGCTGCACATATTATTCTGAAATATAGGATCAATAGGACTGTAGCCAACCTACCTGGGCGTGGCTGAAGGAGGAAAACTGATCACAACCAAAAAGCCAGAAAAACTTCTAAGGAAATTAAAGGTAAACTTCTAGCTCAAGGAACTTTAGAGTCAGATCGCACCATTGCATTGTTTTGGCAAAGTGGACTTGATGTTAGATGACCAAAGAGGACACCACTGTTGAAACCAAATAATTTTAAAATCCAGACTAGAGTTTGCCAAACTACATGATGACAAGTCACAAAACTTCTAGGAGAATTTCCCATGGACAGATAAGACAAAAATGGAACCTAATGCAAGGGCACATCAGCTCTACATTCACAGATGGAAAAAAGAAGCATATCTAGAACAGAACGGCTGTTGTAAAAGACTGGATCGTAGTTCTAAAGTAATATCACTGTAACTTTTAAATCCATATTTTCTAATAACCAAGAACAAATTATGATTATTAGACATTTTGGTGTCAAGATATACCAGATTTTTTTTTTCTGTAATAAAAGTTTTTTTTTTTTTTTTTTTTTACAATGGTTTTGTATAGAAAAAAAACTGTTACTTGAAACGGAAATGCAGTGTGAAAAGTGGAACGTAAAAAAACTGACAACTTTCCATTGACTTGCAAAGACAATGCATGGTAACAAACTATTAAATGAAAATGACAAAATAAATCTGGTGAAAATGAGCAATTATAGCAGCCTGTCTAAATAATTCACAATTAACTCACACAGTTTAAATTACTGTGTTTTGCCTTTGCAAGGTTAAGCATTTTAGAGTAATATATTCCTGTATTGTGTTTGTTATTTTTGTTATTTTGTTTGAGAGACTGATTTTAGTTTTCTGATTTTGATCCACAGGTTGTACCCACCTCAAATGGGACGTCTTTTGACTTTGTTACTAATGGACCACTTGCTTTGGACTTGTACTCGACACCCCAATATAAACTGGACAAGCTCACTGACTGTACAGGTGGGCTGGAAAACACATTTGTTGAGATTTGGGATAGGTTACTGGATGTCAGAAAAATTACCTGGTCAAACTACCCTTCATTTCTTTTTTATCTTGGTTTCAAACAGCAAGACTTCTTTGTAATTTTCTTTATTAGGTAAAATTGATAGGATGTTCAATATTTAGAATAGACTAGAATAGAACAGAATAAAAATACTTGTATTGTTTAACAGTGGGGAAATTCAGATGTAACAATGGCAAATTGTAAACAGACCATAACATTGACAGTTAAACCGTACAGCAAAAGAGTAAAATATTTAGTATAAAAACAAAACCAAGACACTTATGTGGTTGTCCTTAAAATGGCATTTTCAGGTGGAAAGCATCCAATAATAAATTAGCTACAAGATGTTTGTTTTTTTCACTCTAGGACAATTTTAAACACATTTTTATATTTATTATGTGTTTTTGACCATACCTACGGAAGAGGATTAGGGCCACTGAAAAAAAAAAAAGTTAACTGATTTTTTTTTTCAGTTTAGTATGGGAAAAAGGTCAGAATTCTGACTTTAATCTCAGAATTCTGACTTTAATCTCAGAATTCTGACTTTCATCTCAGAATTCTGACTTTTTTCTCAGAATTCTGACTTTAATCTCAGAATTCTGACTTTTTTCCCATACTAAACTGAAAAAAAAAATAATGTAAAAATCAGTTAACTTTTCTTTTTTTTTTTTCAGTGGCCCTAATCCTCTTCCGTACATACCAAAACCATGATGTAAAGAAACGCAGAGGAAAGCATTGACAATGCTTGAGTCAAAACAAGATATAAAACAGAAAAATATTTAGAGGCCTGAAGACTTAATAATAAAAAATCTTTTAATTCTGACTAGCTCTGTGGACTAAATGTTTTGTTTGAACTATCCAATGCCTTCATTTTTCAGTTTGATATGGTTACCTACATTTTTTTTTTTTTAAGCTCCTGATGTCACTAAAACACAACCAGTATGTTTCTACACAGCTATCAGACATTTCATGTTTGTCCCCTGGTGTACAGCAAGAGGTCGGATTTGAAAACGGAAGGAAAGTTCTTTAGCCAAAGATGGAGATTGTTTGGCCTGTGATCAGACCTTTTTTTTTTTTTACTGCTGTTTACTGCCTACACCCTGACCATCAGTGGTCAGCAGGGGAAGTTGAACAGGAAAAGAACCATGAAGCTCCTAAAAGGTACCCCTTCTGGAGGAAGGGGTAGCTGGTATTGTTGTTTGTTAGATTTTTAGTGCCTGGATTAGTTGGGACACTCTGATCGATGATATGAAAAACAGATCAATAAGCTTTTCATGAAAAATAGAAGAGAGATTAGAGTTATACTTTATTGTCCCCCAGTGTATTTACAGTAAAGCTACAGGCAAATTGAAGCAGATAGCTACACATAAATCCAGTGTTTACCTCAGTTTTGATTTTCTTCTTCTTAGCACAACTAAAAATGACCCTATGTAAACTGGTCTTCCATTAGTTGGATCATTATGTATATCTAAAATGAATAGTTCGTGATAATTTAATTAATTTAGGGTTTATCAGTAAAAAAATAAATGTTTTAAATTTGTTGCAATCACTGAGTCTGGGAGCGGCCTTCAGGCAGTGATGTCACAGTGCGGCAAGCCTAGCGCCACTCTCCCCGCTTTACAAGCAAAATCAATGGGAACTATTATACACAACTGCAATCAACAACAATTATTTTTGATTTTGAGAGGACTTCACTATTGAAATCCACAAGAGCTATAGACAAAGGGACAATGCCAAAATGCATGGCAGTTGGATGTTGTAATACATCGGGTAAAAGTGAAAAATTATTCGACAAAGCGACAAAATAAGTTATTTCATCTTTCCGACTCATGATCCACCACGGGTTCGTCTTTGGATTGCCAACTTGAAGAGGGAGGATTTGCAATTTAACTTCTGGCCAGAGAAAAAACACGTCATATGTAACCAACATTTCGATTAAAATTTTTTAACTTGGATAATAGCAGTGATGTAAAAAGTACACAGATTTGTTACTTAAGTAGCAGTATAGATACTGCAGTTTAACCTTTTGTAATGTCAAAATAGATAATTTGCTAATTTCTTTGTTATCGTAAAAAAAAACCCAAATGTTTCAAAAACTAAGAATACTTTAACTAATCAATTCACATGTTTTTAAAGAACAAGGACCACTTTGTACATACTCGCCCATTTAGTAAACAGATACAAAATATAACCTTTTTTTATCGTCTCAGCAGAGAAGAAAGAAGAGTCTGTGTATGAAGTGAGCTTACCCCCAGAAGATTCGGCACTGAAAGAGTCAGAGGATGAGGAGAATGACATTAAGAAAAAAGGAGTCGGAGCAATGGTTAAATTCTTCCATTTCATCATGAAACAGAGCTACATATGTGCTCTAATAGCCATGATGGTGAGTATTGGGGATGAAAGTTGGACTACCATGTAACATTACCTATTTGTTAATGATGTTAAGTCATTAAAAAATAACATAAAAAAAACACAAAAAAAAAAACAAGATACATAAAAACTATTTTCCCACCTATAGATTAATACATACTCTTGATTTTTATTTGCAATTTTAAACTTCCTTTGCATAAACCCAAGAAGGGGAAAAATAACAACAGTAGTTTTTGGTATTTCCAGATCTGGATGAATATAAAAACCAACAAAAAAAGTGTTATATTTAAAAATCCTACTCCTAAAATGTGAATTCCTAGTTTTAATCATACTTTGTAAAGACACTCATTTTCCAGCCTCTTTATTATAGAGGATTAGTAAGTGTAAGTTGATGGAAAGAAAAAAAAGATTTTCGAAAAGTTATTTTTTTTTTTTGTTCAACTTGATGGATTCTCTGAAAATCTATGATTTTAGTATGACCTATTTTCTTTGTATATAGTTAATCTTACATTCAGTATTCTGCATAATTCAATATTTTGCATGCAAAAGGTTTAAAATAATGACTGAAATATGACCAAAAACAAACTAACTTTTGCCTAAAAATATGCAGCTCTCTACAAGCTTTCTGAGAATTTTTCTGTCGTTTTGCTAAGTTTGAAATTCTGCATATATCTGTCAGTTGAGCAAAGGGATGGTTAGCAAATAACAACATCATTTTTATATTGATTGTTAAAACAAAAAACCTTGTGTTTTATTCAGGTCATCGCATTTGACTTGTCATCTTCTCATGCAATGAAATCCTCTGCTGCTTCATTCAGCACATATGACAGTCAGTGTTGTGCATGAATACGTTCAATGAACGCCGTTCACTGGATATGTTCATATTTTTAGTGAATGTTAAACTCAACTCATCAGTTTTGAAGAAATGAACGTAAACCGCAGTGACGTTCAGTCTGAATAATGAGCAGAGCAACCCACACACTTAACGTTTGATCCAATTGATAACGATACTTTTCATTGGATAACGTCAGGTTTTACAACACTTATTACGGCAAACAGCATGGCAGACCAGCATGTCTAATGCTAGTACTAGTGCGCAATTCAGACTCATCTACTGATATTTTTGGATGCCAGTTTTGTAGACTGCTTGGTATGGCTGGGCAATATGGCCTAAAAATAAAATCTCCAATTTTATTATTTTTTTAATTTGATTTACGATTTTGTTCACCCTTAATTATTTAGAAAAGTATTAAGTACAAATTGGTCACCATGTCTTTGGCTATGAAAGGGGCACATCGCTACTCTGCAGCGCAATTGGCAGCCATGCTTCTGTTAACAGCTGGCATGTTAGCTATCTGGAGCGGGAACCATTTTAAAATATGCAATACTATACACAACCAAAGTTCTTCAAATACAAACACACCTATATAAAATTAATTTGAATGAATTAATTGAATCTATCTTTTGCCCAGCCCTACCTCTTGGCAAAATTTTATGAACTAATGCAAGCAAACTTGAACAGAAAAAAACTGAAGTTTTTGTGCAAACTGTGCCCACCGGGACTTAGCAAACAAGTCTTTACATCAGCCATGTCCACTTCAAACTTAAAGCGACAGATCGATTTAAAGCATCTGAGCTATCTTGGGAATTATCTGCTACTGAATCAGGAACTTGTTAATTTCCTTCAGCCAGCTGACTGGCAGTGCACATAGATAGTACTTTCAACTGGCTAATGTGGCAGCAAGTTAAAATCTCACCAAGGGAAAAAGAATCACACTTTGCTGCTACGATCGCAAAGCTATTTCATTCAGAGGTAAAATGTCATTGAGGTCAGAATGGTAACTTAATATAGAAGGTATTTTGAAAAGAATATGTAACCTTTTTCAGCAAAAAAGAGGACTATTCCTTAATATTTAATCATTTACGCTGCTCATTTGGCCCTATTACTCTCACTGCAAAATTTTCGTGCTCATTTGCTGTCTGTGATTGGCTCTGAGATCACTTGTGGCTGGTCTTTTGTGATCCAACCATTACCTTCATTCCCTGCAGTAGTAATCAGGTGAACAAAAGTGTGCAGCATGTCCCAAATCAGTCTCTCACTAAAGGAGTTTTTTGAGACAAGTGAGGTAAATAAAGAAAGCTCAATTTACATGTTGGGCAATTTTAAGGGCATCTATGGGAAAGAAAAATAAACATTTAAACTTTCTTTAAAATCTCATAAATTAACACTTTTAAAACATTTTTAAGAAATCTAGTCTACCTTGATGTTGCTGGAGGAGCCATGCCTAATTGTCAAAATATAAATAAATAAACTGCTGTCCTGTATGAATTTCAGGGTGGAGCACCATAGAGCAAAGAACCTTATACAGTCACATATATTAATGACTTTACAGCTGGTACTCATAACTCATTAAAAGTCGACAATTTTCCTCCTGCAGGCGTGGAGCATCACATATGTCAGCTGGCTGACTTTCGTCTTCCTCATGTGGTCCTGTGTGCTGTGGATGGTGAGGGACCGGAGACGTTACGCCATGCTGTCGTCTCCTTTCATGGTGGCCTACGGCAATCTGGTGATAGTGCTTCAGTATATTTGGAGTTTCGAGAATATGCAACCAGTCGCAGGATTCTTTGTTACGAAGAAAAACCCCTTCCACTCCCTTTCATCCAAGGTTTGAATGCAGTTATTATTCAGAATTACTTCTTTTTTTTTTTTTTACCGGTAGCTGAGTTGTGAAATTAGACTGTTATGTAAACTGCACAGTGTGTGTTTTGCCAAATAATGGAATAGCTCTAAGAATTTAAAGATTTTACAAACATCCCTTCTTTTTTTTCTTTTGCCCCATACTTCTTTTTTTTTTCTAAACAATGCCTTGCGCTTTTATCGTTTGGTTGACAGAAAATGCAATAATATTTCATAACTACAGCCAACAAAGGTTTACTTTAAAGTGTCTGATAACCGCAACATGTGCTTTAACGTCTGCACACTTAGCTCTGAGTTACTGCATAGACTGTGCACATCTGCAATCGTAACTCTCTCTGAATGAGTTTATGTTAACTGCATTTAATTCATCCGTTCTTTTCCTTCTTGTCTGAGTCTAACCGTTTTATTTTTGTCTAGATGATGTGTCTGGTGACATTCTGGTTGCTGCTGAGACAAACACTAACCGAGAGACAGGAAAAACAAAAAGAAGAGAACACAGGTCTCTTGGATGTCTTGGTGGACAGTCAGAAGAAGGAGGGTATGCTATTCTTTTTATTAGTATCAGGTCCCTGCAGTGTAAGATGGTCCTAATCAGTATTTCAGCCTGTGATCCCAAAATAACAGTGATACAGATCCCATAAAACACATAGTTATTTTATGCCTTATTTATTTATTTATTTATTTATTTATTTATTTATTTATTTATTTATTTATTTATTTATTCATTCATTTATTTAACTTCAGCCAGCTCCTTTGTTTCCTGTCTTTCATTAATGGACAAACTGATTAATCCAGGTGTGTCTGGCTAATGTTGTCATGGTTACTGAGGTCAGACACACCTGGATTAATCAGTTTGTCCAGTAATGACAGATGGGAAACAAAGAAATGGACTGAAGTTCAGGAACTAGTGGAGTTTGGCATATAGTCCATTAAGTGATTCTATTTGTTATCAAATGTATTCACATTGGTAGTAATGCAATTCATCATTTTAAAGAGAATTTTAATTATTTAACTGCGCATTTTATGATTTATGGTATATTTAATTTTTTTTAAATTTATTAGATAAGGTAATGTGACATCTACCTATTTTGTGGTACATTTATCTGTTTTTGGGACATTCATATATAAATATTATGAAATTTTTGCTCCTTGCCTTAAGGACCATATCGTGATCCTGTAAAAAAACTCCGACCCCCTCGGGTGGGGTTTAGCGTCCAGTTTGGGCGCTAGACTGTGGTATCTACACCAAAAAAATTGAAACTTATTTAATTTGATGTAATATATATTAACTAATTGAAATGTAAAGATTGTTATAATTATCTGTCTGTACAACCATTTTCCCTGCAAAAGTAAGGAATCTAAAACAAATATCAACAAATAAATATTCTGTTTGGTCTGAAAATAAATTATAATTATTTTTTAAATGTTTTCTGATATTTGTATGCTTGTGTTGTCCACGTTTGTAGAGGAAAAAGACAAAGAGGAGGGAGGGGAGCAGGACCTCCTGCATGTTCTTGGCAGCTTGGTGATGGGTGTTCTCGTCAAATACTGGATCTACATCTGTGGTGGGATGTTTTTCATCGTCAGCTTTGAAGGGACAATCGTCATGTACAAGATCATCTACATGATGATGTTACTCTCCTGTGTGGCTCTGTACCAGGTACTGTACCTACATCAGCTGTTTATTCACATTCCCCCAGACCATTAATTGCTTTGTGTCAGCTTAATTAAATCAAAGCTGTATTAAAGTAGCAACTGGTTGATGGGGCGATCCTGATTATCTAGCGATACTCAGCGGAAATAATATGTAAAATCACTCCTTGATATAAGTGGTACTAATAGATTTTACCAACACACAATATAATGTTATTTTTTACAGAGGAGAAATGAGCTTGTGCATGCTCTCACACGCATTTAATAGGCGTTCCCTCTTGGTAGCAGGTACAGGGTTGTGCATGTGCATTTTTGTTTTTATTGGAGAGGGCGGGTTTTTAGAAATTTTGCGAAAAATTTGACATGTGACATTTTAAAATGTGACATTTTAAAGCACTAATGTCTTTCAAACACCTTATTTTCCATATCATGATTATCAGCAGTCTCTCAGCTTTGGGGGTTTAGAGTAAAGAAACAACTAGTTAAACGTAGCAGGAAGAGAACATGAAGATCATATAGAAAAATATTCAGTCTCCAAAAACCCTTTAAGGTACATTCTCACCTGATAAAAAGGAACTGAATAAGTAAACTCATTTTACATGCCATCTCTATGTAAGGACATGATCAGGAACAAATTGACAGTCAGCAATGCCATGGAGTGATTTGAACTGTGCCAACTGAAATGGCAAAATTTCAACAAACTGTTTACGTTAATTTGCTTTGTGTAACGAGTCAAGGAGTTGACGTGGTTGTGTTTTAGGATGAAGATGCGCCTTTTGTGTCTGTTTTTAAAAAAGTGACTGGTTGTAAGTTTAGCAGGTATTTTTGCATTGTTCAAAGAAATGATCGCCCTGAGATTACTGTCAAGCAACCATCGGCAGGCAAGTGAGGTGAAAGGTCAGCCTTGTTTGCTTTTTGTGAGATCACTCCTTTACAAAGTCCTTGAAGTGTATCTGTATGCTTTTTCAAGGATTATTGGGTTAAACATTTTGAAACCTATGAATCCTTTTTATTTTTCTTGACATTTATTCAACCAGGTGAGTTTGTATGGAGGACCAACTCTGCCATATTTAAAAATACAGAAATAAATAAATGCTTAATAAATAAATAAGCATACAATTAATTGCCAACAAAAATACAATAAACAAATAAATGTAAGTAGAAATTAAATTATACAGTGAGGCATAAATGTATATAAATCTTTTAATTACCTTCTTTATTTATATTTGCCTTTGTAATATTTACCTCATTTATTTTTTTGTCGTTTATACAAATACACCAAAAAATCGCCATCATAGCCAGCGGTCCTTCACACACGACTATGCCGAGAGAGGGCCGCTGCAGACGGGCTGCCGTTAGACATGGCTGCCGTTAGCTTCGGAGCTCCGCTGGTTGACGCGGTCTAATCAAGTTCAGGACATTTTCTTTTAAATTACGCATTAAATCTGTGAATGGGCCATATGTTGATGCTTAAAAGTATAATGTTCTCGCCTCAAATAATCTTAAAACGTAATTTTATTGAACAACAGCAACAGAAAAGAGAACATTTAACTTAGTACTCTGAGCTCTGTGAGTTAAGAAGATGGACCGCCAAGCCAACCAATGAGCAGAAGTTGACTCCTGGGACACACCCCCTCCTCATTTGCGTAATGAGGCAGAAATGCAGACAGAAATGTAAAAGGACAGGCAGAAATGTAAAAAGAGCAGGCAGAAATAAATAGCGGCGAAGAAATATCTAGGGCAAAAAAATACAAAGGAAGAATAAAACAGACAAAAATATTATAACATGCACATAAATAAATACTTAAAAATATAAGTAATTAAAAAATAAAGTTGAAGATTATAATGTATTATAATGACAAAAAATAAATAAGGTAAATATTACAAAGGCAAATAAATAAAGAAGCTAATTAAAAGAGTTATATACATTTATGTCTCACTGTAAAAATTAATTTCTACTTACATGCATTTTTTAATTGTATTTTTGGTGGCAATTAATTGTATGCTTATATATTTATTGAGCATTTATTTATTTCTGTATTTATTTTTAAATATGGCAGAGTTGGTCCTACATAGGTTTGAAATGTATTCACATTGATAATTTGTCACAAACAAGTCCTAAAAAATAACACAAATTAACATTTTGTGGAAAAATATGGCAAACATAAAAAAATATAAAAGGTTTGAATGGGTAAAATGTTTTTATTTATTCCCGTTTATTTTGTAAATCGAAAATGGCTCATTGTTACAACAGAGAGCCACACTTTATTAGAATATGTCCAGTAGAAAACAGTTGAGACATGTTCAGTGTATATAAAAAAAAAAAAAAAAAAAAACCCACCTGAATAGTATTTATATATTTTATGCCAGGGTTTTATATTTGTAAAATTAATAGGTCCTGAATTTCTTTGATGTTATTTCTTCTGTTTCTGATAAAGAATCCTGATGTTTTTTGGTTTAAAACCCAGTGATATGTTATACTCCTGTGTTCTGTAGGTGCACTATGAGTGGTGGAGAAGGATCCTAAAGTACTTTTGGATGACTGTAGTGATGTACACCATGCTGGTCCTTACCATTATCTACACCTTCCAGTTTGACGGTTCTAAAGAATTCTGGGAATCAGCACTGGGTATGAAAGATGAGGACAAGTGAGTAGCCACTGATGGGAGATGCTGATTCATATTTGGTTTTCCCCACCCCTACAAAAAGACAGCTGGACAAGATCAAACAGCTTACTCATCATAGCATTGATTTACCCGAAACCCTGTGTTTTCTCTGCCAAATCTTTTCCCAATTTCAAGAAACTTCGATAGGGGGAAAAGTTCTGATCTGATATAATATAATGTGTGATAAACATATGGAAAATAGGTTTCATGCATGGGAAAATATTTTTTGTTAACATTTTGTGTCAATTGTTTGTAGATAAACTGGAAATCAGATCATAACCAGGATATAGAGCATCTGGTGGCCATGAGGAACTCATAGGACTACTGAAATAGAAATGATTGTGAAACCGATGTAACAACTGTCACCCAAAGTGCTTACAAGCCCTATCCATATATCACACACACCAGCATGCAGATCAGTTGGCAACTCGATTGAGAAGTTTTTGGCATATTTTTAAATCAATCTCAGAACGGACTTATTACCAGGTAGCTGCCCCTCACTCATATGGAAACCCATTAATAAACACTGGATCCTTACTCTACGCATAGCAAAGGGTAGAGTTGGGGATATTTGGGAAAAAAAAAAATAGATTTTTCACATAAAAACTTATATATAGAATAGAATTCAATTTTGTTGTCATTACACTGTCACAAATACAAAGCAACGAAATGTAGTTTGCATCTATCCAGAAGTGCCATAGAGGATATAAATATTTATTTGCATGTGTACAGAAACTATGCATGTATGGACTATAAATGGTATACAGTATATAACCAGAGAGTAATTGCAAGAGGCTATAAAATGAATAGAAATGGAAGCTATATACAGATTATACAGGAAAGTTAGGTTATAGATTATAGATAGTGGGGTTATAATACAGGATAAATAATGATAGAAAATGAAATAGCAGATAAAAGATTTACAGATCATATACAGCTATTGTTGAGAAGTACGTGTAAGTAGTGTTGGATGGATATATATATATATATATATATATATTGGATATATATATATATATATCACACACATACGTGAAGGATACGGTGAGCCTTTCTCATGTGAAATGCTTTCACATTATGAAAACAAAACATTTATTGAGAGCATAAATGCTAAAACTATATAATACATTAGAATATCCCATAAGAGGTATAGCCAACGCTTTGAAGATTCTCCCAACGTCTTTTTATTTTAGAATTGGAATCAGAATTGGATTTTGTAGTTTTATTTAAAAAGAATGGCAAAAACTTCTTCTAAAGTCTAATATTTGGAAATGATATTTTGTATTTGGAAATATTTAGAATTGTGGTAGAACTCTCAACATATTTTAAATTTTACAGTGTGTTTCACATGGAACTGTTTTTAGCGTGTAAACATGTGACACATCTATGGAAAAACATCCAGTTTTTTTTTTTTTTTTATTTTATTTCATTTATTTAATCATTTTTGACTCATTTGGATCAAATATACATATGAATGTTGAAATCAAGGTAAAGTATCTTGTTTTTGTTCTAGTGTAGAAATGTGAAGCTCACTTTAAGTTATGATACCAAATCTTTGATTATTCACTAAACCTGAGTTTTCCACTTTTTTTTTTTTTTTTTAATTGTTAAAGGTTAAAGGACTTGGGTCTGGAGCGGTTTTCAGTGTCCATGCTCTTCACCAGGATCTTCATTCCCACCTCCTTCCTCTTAGCGTGTATTCTCCACCTGCACTACTTCCACCAACCCTTCCTCCAGCTCACTGATCTCCAGGCCGTGATCGCCAAAGAAGAAAGCACCATCTACAGGTGATAACTCTGATTTTTTTAAGGTTGGATGTGCTTAGAAGTCAAAGTATAATGTTTTATTAAATTTCTTTATGTTCACATGTTTAAAATAACAGGGGCGGCTTACAAGCTTTGGTTCTGGAAGGTTTTTTGGTGATCTTTTTAAAGACCTAACCGTGATATAATGTTCTTATCGTAATAAGGTGTACTCTGCCTAAAGTCACCGAACTCGACTCATTAGGATTTTTACGATTTTTTAAGCTTTAAATATAAAAAGCACTCTTAAGTGGTTCCTATTTGATCTGTAAAAGTTATTCTAGTCCTGTGATTAGTACCAGAAGAGAAAACAAAGGATTAACAGTATTTTGCATATCCTTTCCTTTCTTTTCTCTCTGCCACTGTCTAAATAATTCATTTATTTAATAAAATATAACATGGGCATTTTAAAGTGCAATACATCTAAATGCTGTTTTTATTACCATTTGTTAGAATCACTGATCACATAGACCAGGGGTCTCTAACCTGGCTGATTAAAAGTTGTTTATCTCCAAATATGAATAAAACAAACCTTAATTTTAACTTTGTTAAAAATATACTATAGGATTTTTTTTTTTTTTTTCATTTTAAACAATCAACAGTTTATTTGTAGTTTTAGCTTAAAAATGAGGAAAATCATTAAACATTTAATAAAGCACAGATTTTCCTCCATAGGATATTTGTTTGAAATAAAAAACAGATCATTTCCAAGCTAACAACAAGAAAAGTAGCTCTGAAACTTTATTTTTTGTATTTTAATTTCATTCTGTTGTGAGAATTCAAAAAAACCTTTTTTTTTAAACACAATAAACTTTCTAAGACTGGTATGCATTATTCTACTAAATATGTTGTTTCTCTATATCATTTTAGCCTCTCTGAAGAGACATTGTACAGGTTTCAAACAGCCACTAGCAGTCCAGAGCCACAGGTTGCAACAACAACAAAACAAAGTTTTCATGTTTGAATTTTAAAGAATGACCTAAAAGCTCCATAGAAATTAGAGCTTGAAATCTAACAAGTGAAAAACAAGTGACTTTGTTTAATCATAGGGTCTGCCGTGCATATGCAGCTGTCTTTAGAGCGCATGTTTTTATAGTTTCTGGTGAAAAGAGCTAATAAATACACTTTTATTAGCTTGCACTGCAGTAGTGTTTACATTTCACTCAGGTGTTCCCACTTGAAACATGAGATGTTAATTTCTAGATCGACATCAGTAATTGGAAACCACTACGAGAACAACAAATTTATCCCCTTTTGAAAGGTTTATGTTTGTGCTGCCATATTTTGGCTAATCTTTCTTTTTTGATTATTATAACATTTATTTTTCTGTATTTACCCTGTAGATAATTAATACGAGTATGTTTTACACTAAGGACTTTAAATGGTACATGGTAATTTAAGGAGTTTATGTAGCTCCATTGGTACTTACAAAATAGTCTGAGAATCAAGGCTCTAGATGACCTTGTACTGGTGTTTGTTTGGCTTATTGTTTTCTGTTATTATTTTGAGGTGATGTATTTTACTCCCCCTAAATGTTATCTGGTTTTTGATTTCTGACTCCTAAAGTTTGGTCATTTTACAATAAAAATACCACTAGAATAGAATATAATAGAATATAATATAATAGAATAGAATAGAATAGAATAGAATAGAATAGAATAGAATAGAAGAGCCCTTTATTGTCCCACAATGGGGGAATTGCTGTGTAACTGCAGCAAACAATTATAGCAAAAGTGGTCACACAAATGTGGACCTTAAAAAGTGTATAAAAAATAACAGAATAGGTGACAGAGTTAAGAAAAATAAACTGTACTGTGTTTTTACAATATAAATACTGGACATCTGGAGAATGAATAATCAATGTAATAATAAGTAATGATAATGTGAAAAAAAGCAGACACAACAGAGATGTGCAAAAATGACCACAGCATGTTATTTAAAATAGAAAGTCCCTTTATTGTTCAACAATGGGGAAATTGTGATAAGTAATTCAATTGACTATGACAGAAAATACATCACGAAATTAGGAAATACTGATTGAAACTAACATTACAGAGAACAGGAGCTCTTATTTGTTTTCGAACCTGACTGGGATACTGTATAATATTTATTGTTTTTACCGCTATGCAGACCTTCTGGGAAAAAATAAACAGCCTTGATGGTTAAATGTTGTGATCTGAATTTACCAGTGGTGACTATAATACTGTATTACCTCCTGGTTTATAATTTTTCACCATAGGCTTTTTGAAGGCTGAAAACTATTTAAGAAGCAGATGTTATTCCAGAAAACCCAGTTACTCTAACATACAGATAAATGCATGCTAGATGGACCGTGTGTTGAATGCATTAGCTTTATTTTTTTTCTTTCACATTTTCTCCTAAAGGTCCATTATAACCACTGTGCTCATCATTTCTCATGTCCCAGTGTGAGGGAGTGGTTCTTTGGTTTACTGTTATGTGTTTGGTTATTGTTTCGCTCGGCTCAGCTGCTTCTTGTCTGTGACCGGCTGCCATGTTTTCTCTGCCGCCCTTCTCTCACAGCCATGTTAAAGTCAGAGAACGGGTCGATTTGATCATTAATAGGTGGGTATCTGCTCGCTTTTTCTGTGGTCACCATCTTAACCTCAGTTGAATCCCAGCGTCTAAGGACATGACTGTCCCTTTCCCAAACCTTTTTTATTTCCTTGTTTTTTTTTTTTTTTTGCTGCACAACAATGAATTTTCCTGGATTTGAGATGTTTACATTTACATGACAGGACTGGTTTTCCCATGCAGGTTTTCTATATTTTTGTGTTCTGCTTGTTGCCTAAGAAAGTTCTTTAAACCTAAATTCTTCTGACAGAAATATTTTTTTCTCAGCATGTTTGAATCTGTGAGATCATCATCTTTCTCCTCAGCAACTTCCCAATGAACCACATCCTTTTTATGCCCTAGAAAAAAATCCCATCCTGCTAATAAAGCCTGTCTCCCTTAAATGACTTTACTCCTGTGGCCAGTTTTTATGCACTCTGAATGTGTGTGGATATTTGAGTGATTTTCAGGTCTGATCTCCTTCTTGTGTTATCATTCACATCTGTGTAACTTTATTGTCCTGAGCAGCATCAAAGAAAAAATTCCTTCTCAACAGAGCAAGTAAGTGTTGACTGCTGGATGGCAGAATGCTTGCCTTGATATGCAGCCGGTTTGTGTAAGCCAAACCTGAACCTTGACAGTGCTCCATTGCCTGAGGAGACTTTACAGGAGGGTTACTGCCTCCCTTTAGCTGATATTTAGCTGCTCTAAGATGAAAGTAATGGAATAACATTGATTTTTTTAAAGAATGCAGAAGGAATGTGCACTGCTTTATAATTACAATGCCTGATGAAATACTGTTCAGGTAGCATTTAGAGCTGATTAATCCCTATTGAACTTTTGCATCAATGTGAATAATTGGGTTTGTATTTGTATACGTATGAGGACCTCAATATTTAATGTACAGCTGTCTAATTATCCAAGAAAATGACAAAGTTTGCATGGTTTTATTGGTGAAAGTTATCGCTATGTGCCTATGCAGGTCTGCAGACTGTCATTCTTTTACCTCCACAGCTCAGAACTGCTGCAGTTTACTTTGTTTTATAGACCATAAAAACAAACTTCTAATGAGTTGTTTATGCTTGATAAAATTTCCTCCAAAAAGTTAATAGGTTTTATTTCTAGAAGGAAAGATTCAGCCTTTTCTCTGCTTTGCGTACAGGTAGTTAGTGTACCTTGAAAAGAGCCATTTGGACAATCGCAGTGCAGAGATAAAACAATACAGGAAACAGACTGCTGCACCGAACTGGCCCTCCAATGTTAGAGGACCAGTTCTCATTGTGTATAATGTGTGTCTTCGGCTTTCTTATGTGACAATACAAAGGCTCTTTAAAAAAAGGAAAAGGAAATAACTCAAACCTATTTGGGTTCTATACTCCGATTACAATTTCGTCATGTCAAAATGATGTAAAAGGAAGTTGTGTTTTAGGCCAAACTTTTAAAATACCTGGTTTTAAAATAAAAAATAAAAAACTCAAAGAAAAATATGTAACAAATGGGAATCTTAGAATAATTGAAGTTTTTAGTCTATGTTTTTTTATTAAATGATAATGAAATAAAGCAAAAAGTGTACAGTCCTGCTTTGATGTTGATTTGAAGGAGAAATATTTCCAAGGCTTACATCAGACTTCATGTTTTTTGACTTTACAGCCATTTCTCTTGGCAGGGAAGCTTGCATCGGTCTGCAGTAGTCTCAGTCAGTTGACCAAAATATTTAAATATGTCTATTCTCAGAGAAAAATAGAGGGAGAGAAGTCTGGGTGCAAATGTGAGAAGTGTTCAGGCCATCCCCTGACCTAACTGCGCGCTGCCTTTTTGGTCTCCTTTATATATACTTCCTTACATCCCTATCCTGTCTCTTTTTTTCCTTCTTTTCTTAGTTCTATCCCTTTTTCCCTCCGATGTCTCTTATTTTGTATCTCACTGCAAATCTTCTGATGTCTTTTCCTTGAGTCTTTCCATCTTTCATTTTTCTCCCTTCCGTCTTTTTCTTAATTCTTTTTTTATCAAATTTCCCGTTGTTTCTTGTATTGATTTTTTTGTTTTTCCTTAATTTCTTTAATTTGTTTTATTTATTTCTAGCTTTTTCCCTTCCTTCATTTTGGTTAAGCTGTAGAAGAATAAAGATGTTTCCTACTAAGAACATATCTGCCTTTAGACGATCCGTCCAGTTAGACAAAAGTAATCCAAAGAACATAAACCAGGGACTTTATAGCTCAGTCAAAGTTTATCACTGTGAAAGACCTACTGATGATTGGAAAAGAATAGTAGCCAACATTTATTAGTTAATGAAAAAGCTGATATTTGGTGGATTAATATATTCCTTTAATTTAATGGGTCAACAAGTAGGTTTACTGCACCTAGGAAAATACCTGATGAGGAGACAGAAACAATCTAATCACCAAACTTAGGGGGTGATAGTAAAAACTCCCAGAGGTCCTCATAAGTATATTAAAAGAGTCACGTGCAGAACAACATTGACAAACGTCCAAGTGGTATAACCATGCCCCTATATTTTCAGACTGGCGGAGCCTGCTGCAAGCCTGGAGGACCTCACCATGCTCAGTGCCAGCTCAATTGAGGCTACGCTCCCCAAAGACAAGGAGGAGAAGGAGGAGGAGCAGCAGAGCTGGGGCTCAGGGAACGAGACGGAGCAGGCCCTTGTTGTTGTGACGGACACTGTCGACAGCATGAGTGACGAGAAGCCCAAAAGCTTCTCCGACCAACGCCAGTCCAGCACAGAGGACAGTCAGCGCTGCAGCGCTGCAACAGAGCCAGAGCCGAGCACAGAGCAGAGCTCAGGTACAGGGCAACACAGGTCCACACTCTAAATGTGCTGAAAGCTTCATTTTGATGCCTTGAGATGACCTTGAACAGAACAGTAATGCTCCTTTGAAGAACCCTTAGGAGTCCTGAGAAGAAGAGTGATTCTAAATTTACCAACAGATTTCACCACGTCTGCAATGATTGAGATTGGATAGAATGTGTGAAGCCACAGCATTCTACATTGCATACTGAACTTTTTGCAAAGGCTGTATTTAGTTTGCACTATGCATCATGTAAATTATTTTGTTTGCAGCTGAAATTCAAATTTTTTTATTTATTTATAGACATTTCCAATCAGCTGTGAGTATGCAGACCCATTCTTGCAGGCAGCCTGGTATTTACCATGTGGCATACAGTTCTTAATGGCCAGTTCTCTGCCCCACCAGCTAGTAATTATCAGTCTAGCCCAAGCGGTAAAAAATGGGTTGCATTACAGATTTTTTTTTTTTTTTTTTATGTCTGCATTCTGTGGATTTATATCTACTTTTATTTTCTGACGCATTGTTCACTTTCTCTCTCCTGCTGACATCAACTATGGCTTCAGAAAGTCAAGCTGCTCTTAAATTGAAATGCAGTTTATATACACAGAAAATTAAAGAGGTAATAAAACAGGGCCCCGCAGGACCTCTTGGTTTATAATGAGCTGTCGCTGCGATATCCGTTCTTATCCAAACAACAAGACCTCTGTTAAAAACGCTCTGAGCTGGACATTTTATATCCTTTATGAGAATATAAAACTGAGTTTTACATAACGTCCTACTTCCCAGATCATTAAACCTAAAGTTTAAAAAATCCGATATTTAAGTCAGTGTCTACAATTTTTGTGCAAAAACTGCATTTAAAATTCACTGTTGCCAGCCTTTAAGCAAAATTTGAAATATTTAAGACACAAAAATTTTCCAGATCCCATTATTTAGGCCAGTTTGCCTACTTATGTAACTCATCCCACTCATAATAAAGGTAAAAGAACAGGAGCTGTGGAGGAGTAAATCATTTTAAATCATAAGATTGAAGGGCACTGTTTTCTGGAATGACACCAATTTTCTGTTTATACTTGGCCTGTTCCTTGTGTCTTTAAAACCTATTTTGAAATCCAGTATGTCCTATGCTGTTGCCGATTCAATCTTTCTCCGCCACAAACGATGACAACAGGGTCAGACTATCAGAAGCATGGTTTAGGTAACAAATGTTATCTTGGTCTTTGCAACCCATTAGCAACCGGTACAGAACTTGTATGGGGCTTAGGAAGTGGAGGAGGATCAGTTACCATTCAGGGGCCTAAAACTGGCATCCTCCCTCCTGGAACTGGTCTGTCTCGTTATGCCAGCTCTTATCCCCCATCCAGAGCAGAGCTCCATCCATGCAGAGAAGGCACATGCATACAAGTTGGGCCACTCAGCCAGTTTTAAGCACCCCACTGTTCTTTTGCGAGGTTCAGTCCAGCCCTGTGCCAACAGGCCCTCAGCCTGCTTCGTGTTCTGGTGTTCATTTTTAGGAAGGGATCCTGTCCAGCTGCTGCCGCCTCAGGCCCCAGGTTCAGAGTTATTTGACGAGAGTGTACAAGTGGATATGCCTTTTGTTCCTGCTCCAGATGTTCTCAGTGTTTCTCTTCCTGATGGGTTTGAGGACAAACTGCCTCACCTTAATACTTCTGCTCAAGAGGTCTCCGGCATTTCTGCTCCTGAACTCCATCTTGGGTTCTCTCTTGGATTGCTGTCGGAGGTCCTTAGCCTTCCAGCTCCAGAGCTCATCTGTGGATCCCGGCCAACTCTTGGGCCTCTTCTCAGTCTTCAGGCCTCAGCAGAGTTCCTATATGTTTTCCAGGCTTTACCTCAAGCTTTTGACAAAGCTCCCTGTGGGTTAATGGACTGCCACTATCTGCGTTCGGAGTCCTCAGGAAGTCCTTAACATCAGAACCACATTAACCAATGGCGCTTTTAAAAGTGCACACATTCATTCGTGAAGTGCCTTGCAAAGGGGCACTTCCCCTTATAAGCTTCTTTTTTTTTTCCTTGTCTCTAAGTGGGGAACAATAAGCCACCTTCCAAATAAATCCTTTGAAAGACCTACAAAGGCCCTGAAGAACATGTTTTCCCGAGACCACTAATAAATATGTCTGACTGTTTGAAGAAAAAATTGTAAATAACGTGTCTTTTTTTTTCTTCAGATTTTAAGAATAAGTGGCACCTGGTGGTCGACCGCCTCACCGTGCTCTTCCTCAAGTTCCTGGAGTACTTCCACAAACTGCAGCTCTTCATATGGTGGCTACTGGAGATCCACATCATCAAGATCGTATCTTGTTACATTGTTATGGTCTGCATCAACGAGGTAAAGGAACTTAAGAATCTGCTTCAGATTGAGCAGCATCATTTTCTAAGTGCACTTTAGAAATATGGAGAAATACTTCTTAGAATATTAAAAAAAAAAGTAAACTTGCAACAGCGTTGCATGTACAGTACCTTGCAGAAATATTGATACCCATTTAAATAGTTTTACTCTCTTATTACAACCACAAACTTGATTAGGTTAAAATGGCATTTAATGTCTGTAGACCAGTGCAAAACAGTATATTTCATCACTAAACTACTGTGCAATGGTTTTTTTCCCATTCACTCTTTTTCCTTTAAATGAAGTCCATTGCAACCAATCACCTTTAGCACTCACCTAATTTGAAAAGCCACTAGTGGCTTTTTGGACTTTCTACAATGAATCGTGATAAAAATGTTTTTTTTTTTTCAAATTTCTTATATATAAAAATGCCACAGATGGAATCCCCTGTTATGATAAAGTGTCACGTTTTCCTTCATTTTATGACCTGAAAATAGAAATATAAACTGTGTTTCTTGAGAATTTACAACAAATTGTTTTATTTAACAGCTGTATAAATATATAATAATAATAATCATAATCATAATAATAATAAAAGTTGCCCTTTTCATAAGGACATGTAACATTTGCTGGTGTGAATTTTTTTTTTTACCGAGAGCATTAAACATAGAAGCAGCCAAGATGCCCATGGGGACTCCTGTGGATCATAGCTCAGATGGAAGATCTGTGAAGAGGATAACAATTAGTCACTCACTCCAAAATGGTGGTCCTTGCTTTTAAACACGCAAGAAGAAATATATTGGTTAACAAAAACATGTAGAAGGCTTTTCACTTTGACACATGTACAAACATAACACCACATAACATCACATAACAAACATGTTAAAGAGCATGCTTTCATCTGAGGAGACCAGAATGAAACTTTTTTTGGCTGAAATTCAAAAATTACAAGCTGCAAAAACCAGGGAGTGCTCATCATCTGGAACAAACCATCCCCAGAGTGCGAGACAAACAGAGGAGGCATTTTCCAGACTGTTTACAGTGCATCTAATCTGTCATAGTTGCACCTTTGTCAAAAGTGAAGTAGGGCTTATATTTCTGAACAATAGTGTGAACTGATGTGTTATTGTTTGAGGTCATGCATTTCCTAAAGCCAAGAAAAAAAGACAAAAAAAAGAGGGCTGATCCATGTTTGGATATCTTATATAGAAACATGCAAATTATCTAACTCTCAAGGAAACAAAGCAGCATACCTACCCACAAAACCCAAGTACAGTACATTCAAGTTTCTTAGTGTTACAAAATGTTAAAATGATTTAGACATGTCACTACTTTTGCAAGGTAATATATGAGTTCGGTCCATAATGAGGTACTTTTCATGTCAGTCACAGACTTATAGGGTTTGCATTTTACTAGCTATTTAATTAAGCTGACTTCTTCCTACAGTGACCCATCTTGTTTCTGTGCAAAACAATATTTGAGCTCTTTAGTAATACAATTAATATTATGTGGTTCTCTCATAGTTGTACATCATTTGTCTACTTGTTTGTTCTGAATGAGATCCTTTTCTTTCCACAGAAAAGTTTTCCCGCTTATTTCTTCTAAAAAGGAGCCTGTATTCTCTCTATTGCGGAATCAGTTCCCAAATGACACCTTTAAACCCCATAATACACTGTGTACAAAGTTTTTCTTAAGTAGACAAAAAATGTCTGGTATAGTTCCCTTAATGTGACCATTTTTTATGTTCTCACCCCTTTTATTGTCTCCTATGCAGGTGTCTTTGCTCAATGTTGTGTTCCTGGCATCGTGGGCCTTTGCACTGCCCTACAGCCAGTATCAACCCCTTGCTTCCAGTGTTTGCACTGTCTGGACGTGTGTCATCATTGTGTGTAAAATGCTGTACCAACTGAAGACGATAGTGCCCCAAGAATACAATTGCACAGTTGTAAATATCACCTTGATCTATTTCATTTCCATAATAGACCTTATTATCATGGCATGTTTATTTTTTTCTTGCTAAGCTGTTTGTTTTGAAAGTTGTGTTACATCTGTTTACAGTTTATATATATATTTCATTGATTTACTTAAAACCTTTATTTGTTTTAACATAATACACATATTTTTTATGCAAGCATTTATTATGAATTACATTATCATACTGTAATCACATAATAATAGAATTAACAACTTTTTTTTTACTCTGTGCACAGCCAGATACCTACACAAAGCCTCAGAGGGAACAGCTAGAGAAATATCCACTGTATCAGAAGAAATCTGATTGGAATGGCAACTGGGTGGGCCTGGAGAAGACTCAAATTGACCTGCTGCAATACCTCAGGGTAAAGAGTGAAAGTCCTTTAAATTAGTATAAAAAAAAGTCCTCAGATAATTAATTAGGAGATTTTTTTGTTTTGATTCATGTCCACCTGTTTACTGTAACTCTGACAGGATTCAAACAGAATTTTTTTTTTTATTAAATGGATGATCTTCTTTTGTGTCTTCAGGTTACAAATCAAAGGTCTAATTATTTTCAAAGATGATAATTTGTTTTAACCTTCATAATAGAAAGTAGTGTGGTAATGGAAACTGTAAGTCAAAAGCTTTGAATAAAGACTACTGGACAAAAATGAAAGAAACTGACCCAGTAGTTGCTGCAACCTATGTGCCTGGAAAATCAAACAAGTGCAGCGGCTGCTTCCTTCTTCCCCTGTACTTTTACCGAATTAAAAAAATCATACATTTTATTTTCAACCTCATTATGCTTATACACCAGAATGCAAAAAAATGAATTAACTAAGATCAGAAATTGTTTTTAGATTCAGGTCGCACTTCACTTTATCTGTGAGTCAGTTTGATCCCCTTTGCTTTGACATCAGATTTGGAAATAAAATCCTCTTCATGCCACACAGAACTCTTCAGTTGGAAGGTGTACAGCAAACGACAGGAAGGACAAAAACAGAACCTCGATTGGCTTGTTATAGCAATGCTGCAGGTGTAGACTGTCCAATTTTGAACAGAACTTGAAGCATATATATGTTGCTCCTCACCACTTCTAAAAACAGCACCTTGTTTTTCAGCTTAATCCATCTGCTAACTGTTGAATCTAACACAAGTTTTAAGTAATAAATGTAGAATTGCTGCGTATGTTACATCTAAGCATGGGAGAATGTAAAGTTCTGACGGTATGAAAACCATAACCAAATATATCACCGTTTCGCTCTTTCTGAAATTTCTGAATTAAAAAAGTTAAAATAATAAATGAAACACTTTCTGAATTGGGGCAGATCTCCAGCATAATCTCTAGAAACAGTTATCTTGTTGTAAGATGATTTTAGATTACAGGTGTCGAAAGGTTGAAATTTCTCTACCTTATAGGCTCTCACTCTGCTTTACGTGAACACTCATATTTATGATTTTTGCCACAAAGAAGCCACAGAAATACTAAGCATGAATGACCATGTACAAAGTGCATGGCTATAGCTTTTTAAGGACTCGCCACTATTTATCTTGAAACTAACCAAATTTGTGTACCTACAACTCCACAACACTCTGGTTGACAAGTTGTTCCCAGATCTACAGTATCAACAAGGTCTCCTCCCTGATGCTAAAAGTAGCTTACTTATTTAAAGATTGCACAAACTTTACCTTAAATTTAGCTGATTATTTTTGCACTAATGTAGGTGATGCTCCAGATGCACTATTGTAGCTGTAATACTTCCTCTAGCTGCCACCTTCTTCCATCAAGCTGTTGCTCTCCATCTTTTTGAGGTAGCAGAAGTGTTCATGAGTAGTGTAGCTGCATGCACACATGCCCTCTCTGAGTGCCAAAGCAAGGGGGAAAGTTTTTGTTTACCCCTACATCAGCAATCATTCCCCCTTTAGAGCTACACACGGGTGCACAGGTGAAGGGGCCGTTATGCTGCTGCAGCTGCTCACAACGTTAGCATTCTCTTTGATGAATTAAAAAAATAAAAATGAAGAAAACAAAGTGTATACTTCAGGAATGCTACTGTATGAAAAAACTTTTTTGCAGCTTTGAACCTGTGTCTTTTTCATACTGGGATATAGGGTGAAACCAGTAACCGACCCATGCCTAATTTGATCATACTGTATATATTTTTTAGCTCTATTCAGCTGTCCAAGGTGCTCCAAGGCCAGCCGATAGACAAAATCCCTCCCAGATATCCTATGCCTTGGTGTGGTGGAATTTTCTTGCAGCACGAGAGAGTCGTCTAGAGAAAATATGTAATAAAACAAAAAAAAAAACATTAGTTGACTCTTCTCGACATGAAGGAGCAGTGGCTCTACTCTGACCCCCTCCACGAAAGCTGTGATCCTCATTCTTTCTCTAAAGGGGATGCCTGGCCACACTGTGTAGGAAGCATGGCCATAGGCAACAGTAGGAACATAGACCAACTCCACCTGTTGACTCCTTTCAGTAACAGAAAGCAGTGGCTTTTCTCTGAGCTCTGCTCAAATGATGGAGCTCCACTACTCGTCAGTCGCCATATTCATTTTGGCTACTTGTATCTAAGATCTCGTTCTTTTGGGTAAACTAGTAGGGATGGGCATTTAACCTTTCTTTTATTTCTGTACTAAAGTAATTCTTATTAGAATTTTCACTGTTACAATGGTAAATGAATGACATCTGGAAACAAGCACTGTAGATCTGTTTGAATAATTATTTGTAATTTTTTTCTTCTTTTTTTATCCATGGAGGCATCAATATCTATCAATTAATCTAAATAAATCATATTAAATGCAGTTGCTGTATACAGCTTAGTGAATAAAAATCCCTCTTTGTGTCACAAGAATCCTAAAGAAGCTAACTTGTTTATTTTGTAGTATTTGTGTTTGTGCAGCAGTGAGATGTAGTCACAGCCATACATTTGCCTAAAACTAAAAAAAAAATCGTTAATGTTTTTTATCACTTGTTTGCAGTGATAATAGAAACATTGGTAGTGTTTTATTATAAAGGAATAAGTAGCGGTAGTACTGAAAGTTGGGCAGTACCTATAAAAATACATAATTTGGTATCTCTCTCACTCCTGCATGCTCTGAAAATATTTTTCAGCATAACAATGTTAAACAGAAAAGTAAACATCTAAATCAAGGATAGAGATACTGAAATCTAACATTTTCATCTCTAAATTGAAAACATAATTTTCTTAATTTCTGCTTTAAAGCTTTAAAATGAATTTAAATAAATATATTATTTCAGGAGAACCTGTTGATGTTGGCGCTGTTGGCGTTTGAGGTGACCATTTATCGTCATCAGCAATACTTCCGATTAAGGAACAAACTGTCGCCTCCGGCGGCCAGGATCATCTTCCATGACATCACTCGCCAGCATCTTGACATTGGCATCGTCAGCTTTGTGAAATACTTCATCAACTACTTCTTCTACAAGTTTGGACTTGAAGTAAACAATTCAGTGACGTAATGAATGTGTTTATTGGGAAAGTATTACATATTTAACTATTTTTTTTTTTCAAACTATCCTGGTTTTCTTAGACCTGTCTCCTGCTGGTTGTAAACATCATTGGCCAGCGTATGGACTTCTATGCCATGCTCCATGCCTTTGCCCTTATAGCAGTCATGTACAGACGTCGAAGAAAGGCCATCGCTGAAATCTGGTCAAAGTACTGCTTCTTCCTTGCAAGCATGCTTACTTTCCAATACTTTGTCTGCATCGGGATCCCGCCTGCTGACTGTAAAGGTTTGTGTTCTTGGATGAACTAGACAGGAATCACAATAACTCACTGGTTAGACTATAGTTACTGCCTGCCCTGAAACAGGTGACCAGAAAGGAGCACTGATAATCTTAGAAAAACAAAACAACGGAAGGACATAATAGGTTTAGTAGACTAAATGTATCTGATTTTTCTTAATGATTTGCTTACTCTGTCTTTCTGTGTGGCATATCTTATAGAATTGCTTACTATCTCTTGCTTTATATCTTATAGCTTTGATAACACTTAATAATAATGTTTAATTGTATAAAGACTGTCTGCCACCCCACTAGTTTGTGCTGGCCTGTGTTCAAGTTTTTTTCATATGAAATTTATTCTACTATATAAATGAAATGTATTCTACTATCACTATTTTTGTACCAACGCCTGCTTTGTTGCAACAATAATGGGAGATAGTTTTGCAAATCAGTTTTCACTTGACTTAAAGAAATACTTAAAAAAAAAAGGTAAAAAACTGCAATTGAGTTTAACATTTAGAAAATCTATTTGTATGTGGTAAATGTTTACATTTGTACATCCTCCATCCGTGCATTTACACAGTTTGGTCATTAGAATATAATCTGCAAATTAATGAACAGTTTCCTTGTTTTGAAATGGGCTAATGCCTTTATTTTTGCTTCCATGAGTCAGCCTTATCCTTAGTTACTCTTTTTTCCTTGTTTACATTACTTAGATATTTTTATTTCCAGTCCTAAGGGTAAATGGTAACCTCATAAGATGTTCCACAAAATAAACCTTTATTTTTAATGCTTTTTGAGTTATTTTTACATTGTTTGAATGTTCTTGTAATTATGCTTTTCATTTCAGAATATCCCTGGAGGTTTCCAAACTCTACAACAGACCCAAATGTGATAAAGTGGCTCTATATTCCAGATTTCCATACCAAGCCCAATCCACATTTCCTTGCCTGTAAGTCCTTCACCGAAGAAGGGAATTAATACCGCGGCTTTGGTTCATTATAATCTTAATATTTCAAGTTAATCCATAGTTTAATAACTGAACTCGAGAACATTTTTGACAGTTAATATTAAGTGAAATTAACTCTTAAAAAACACCAATGGAATTTTAAATCACATCTTTAAAGGTGCACAAATAACTATATCTACAGGCTTTAATAAGGTTTTTTTTCAGCTGACAAACAAGTTATTGACCATCGAGGTATGATAATAAACCATATATTGTTAGTTAATCAATAGCTCTTTATTATCTGTCAGTGGAATGGTGTACCTTTGAGTCTGCCACTGGAAGGCTTAAGGTCCCCACTAGTGTTGTGATGTTTTTGAACAACATAAAGTCACAGTGCCATATTTTGCAAATATCTTTTGTTATTTCTTCTTTTTCTTTTATCATAGCAAGTATAGCCGCTCCTGGGATTGACTATATGGTGTTGTGCAATTTTACCAGCAGATATTGAATGTAAATGAAAAATAACTAGAACTGGAAGTTTAGATAATTGTTAGGTACCGGTAATTCAAATCAAGGGTTAAAAACAATTAATGATTATTAGTTAAATGATTATAGCTGCTTTTTCACCAAGATTCTTTAGTCTTTTACACAAGGTTGGACTTCTGGACTAGCTGTTAATATCGGGCTTTCTTTCACCAATTTAGACATTTAGACTATGGCTATCAGTGGAGTTATTAACCATCAACCAAAGGAAATGGTCTCTAGTTCTGCAGTTGTTAACCAAAAGAGGGTGGATCTGGCTCTGAGTGATAATTTGTTCACTGTTATAAATAATCCTAGACAACAGGTTAAATGTTGATACCTTTATAGCCGAATAATCTCTATTACAGTTTTATTTTATCTAATAACTATGCAACACTACACACTATTGAAAGTAAGCACAAGGTAAATGAAAGGCTAAGAAAAAGGGGAAAAAGGAGTCTAAGAGTCGAATGTAAATACCAGAATCAACATGACCTTTGAACTTTAACAATGGAAAGTCAGAAAAAATCTTTTTTTAAGATAAAATGAGAACGTTCTAGTTACCAAAAAAACAAATGTATATGTGGTTGTTTACTGGACCGAAAAAAAAAAAAACATTTTGCCTGTAAAACAGCTATTCAAGAACAGAAATATGAAAATACAAAATGTGCCTCTGAGAAAAATTGTAATGATAATCAAGAATGACTTGAGTTTCAACTCTTAAGTGGAAATTTACTAATTCTGTATCACTTTTCTTGATAAATGACTTATAGTGTATTACAATGTTTGGATCAATTTTGGATCAAAATAAGTTTCAGTTGAGGAATCTCTATTCTCCTAGACGACTTTGCTTTGCTGCTCTGCGCCTCTCTCCAGAGGCAGGTCTTTGATGATGAAAACAAGGCAGCTGTCCGCATCATGGCCGGTGACAATGTGGAGATCTGCAGAGACCTGGACGCCGCCTCCTTTAGCGTCCATAACCCCGTCCCAGACTTCATCCACTGCAGGTACAGCAGCTTATGTTTACTGAACTTTTCCTTTTCTTCATGCAGTGCGCTAAGACTAAGAAACTGTTCATCCCATTTCAAAATGATTTCCAGGAGCTATTTTACAAAATATTGACTTAAAAGAGATGTCTTACAGTTATTTTGGTGCCATTGCTTGGCAGTCATTAGTACAAAGGAAAACATTTTGAAATGGAAAGGAAGTAAAGCAGACAGAGTAATTGATGCATAATGGTATCAGATGTCGACAATAAAGTCAAGCATTATGTGCTCCATATAACTGAAGCTATCATAACCATTCAGCTGAGAATTAGTGGTGTCAGAGTTTATTTAGAGCAGTATGAAACGGTTTTATTAGTCAGATATAAAGGGCCTATGGTCTGCACAAGGAGCTTCAAAGTCTGAGAAGTTAAACTGTGTTTAAGGATGAAATTGCATTTGATTATTAGGATTTTATCGACTGAAATATTTGAACCATTACATACTTTTTTTTTTCTTCTAAACATATTTTTTTTTACTCAGGGATTCCTCTAAATTACACAAGAGGTCATTTGTTTAAAGACTTAGACAACTTTTATTGTCATTTTGTATACACAGTGTATACAAAACAAAAGTCTTTTTGTACAGCTTTCAGACAGTAAATGAGTTGCAGCTTAGTAGTGCCATTCCATATAGATTAAATGTAAACAGTGTGGAAGAAAAACATGATGCAATGAGCATTGATATAGAGGTTCAGAGCATTTCAAGACAAATATATATGATGCAAATATTCAGTATTTTTTGTGTTATCAGTGTGATGCAGAGTCTGTGATTTGATTTAGAGGTTTTTTTTTTTTCAAAAGTTCAGCTGTCTGCAGAGTGTGGGGTAAAAGCTATTGCAGAATCTGCTGGGCATGCAGCGGATGCTGGGAAGCCTCTTCCCATAGGGCAGCAGGGGTGTGAGAGGTGATGATGATGTAACGGGCTTGGGACACACAGCGCTGGGATGAAATGTCTTTTATGGAGGGAAAAGGAGCCCCGAAGATCTTCTCTTCTGTTCTCACCACTCTTCACCTGTCCTTCCAGTCTGAGATGCTGCAGCCTCCACACCATACAGCGAGACAGCTGGTCAGAACGCTCTCTATGGTGCTTCTGTAGAAGGTGGTGGGTATGGGTGGGGGCAGGTGTGCTCTCCTCATCATCTGCAGGAAGTACATGCGCTTCTGTACCCTTTTGACCAGTGAGGTGGTGTTTACAGTCCAGGTGAGGGTGTCCGTGATGTGCACCCCCAGGAATTTGGTGCTGTTGACCACCTCTACAGCTGAGCTGTTGATGACCAGTGGAGCGTGGTTAGGACGGTTCTTCCTGAAAATGACGATGATCTCCTTCATCTTCTCCACACTCGGGCTCAGGATGTTATTTCTGCACCAGCCGACCAGCTGTTCCACCTCCTCTCTGTAGTCCTGGTCGTTGTTGTGTCCGAGGCCCACCGTGGTGTTGTCTGCAAACTTCTGTGATCGACCTTATGCCTTGACACATCATGCTGGTGTTCCTGGCATTGTGGAAGAGATCCTGGATCTTCCGGCTGTGGTTATGCTTTGCTGATCTGATGGCACGGTTAAAGTTGGCACATTCTATTCTCAGAGCCTCTCTATCACCCGACTTGGAAGCTGAATTCTATGCTTTTAGTGATTTACAGTATCCAGGGTCGTTGGTTGGCTTGGGTGGTTATGTTCTTTCTGGTGCTGACTTCCTCAATGCATTTGTTGATATAGTTACCCATGATTCCATGGAAACACAAGGACAATGTTAATCATCATTTTGTGTCTTTCCTTATCTGTTATTTTTAGTTTTTTTTGTTGTTTTTTCTTTTAGACTGTTATTTTTCCTGTGGCAATAATGAGTCCTGATTGTCTTCAGATAAACATTTTTGGTCCACTGCCTGCACTGTCTGCCATGTTGGTCTTATGCTACAGTGATAAACCAGCTGTTCACATGCACAAGCGTCCCTCTACAGCCAACCCGGCTATGTAAACAAGAAATTGGAGAACAACACAAAGAGATGGTCTGTTACATCTTACAGCAGTCCATCTGAAAAGATACCTTTAATTCTTCACAAAACAATTTATGTTCTCTTTATCTAAAATGACGAAATTGTGTGTGTTGCTCCTTTAAGGAATTGAAGATTTTTTTTTTTCCAGAAAATAACCTGAAAAAAGTTAACTATCTATTCATATATTTATAGGTCCATAGGTCCTCCATTAGTCTATCCTTCCATTTTTTTTATTGGTCCTTCCTTCCTTCCTTCCTTCCTTCCTTCCTTCCTTCCTTCCTTCCTTCCTTCCTTCCTTCCTTCCTTCCTTGCTTGCTTGCTTGCTTGAATGGGCTATATCTTCAGCAGGAAAGACCCAGATTCCCATTGCTAGTTCTTTTGTGGTCATCTGAAGGGCCACCAGATTATGCTATCTTAAATGCACTGCTGGTGGCAGACAGTTCTGTATGCCAAGCAGCTGCCATATGAAGTAAGGATGCATGATTAACACACACAGATAAACCGGCCCAAACATTTTAGTTTGTCCTGTTGGTTTTTGCCTAATCGACTCATAAATCACCTTCAGTGTGCCTCTGAACGTCAGGGCAGTGGTACGAGTCTGATCGATGGATGGAAACCAGAACTGTAATATGGTGCTGTTGCTCAATTCAGGTATCCTACTGCATGTTCTCTCTGTGTCAGACATGTAAAAACCATATGAAAGGATCCTGTCTTTTCAAGTGAGAGCCCATTAAAAAGATGTTAGGAGTGAAAACACAGGATGCAGTGATGATTGCTCTGATGTGCTCTGGACCACAACAGCAACTACAGCTCTGATGTAGTGGGTTTAGCTCCGACAACACGTTGATGGGCCGGAGCGGCTGAGTGAGTGTCCTCCTTCATCAGTGGGAGAAAATACCTTTTCCATACTTGAAAGCTATTTATTGAGTTAGAGTACAAGGCAAAAGCGTCTGAGTCGCGGAGTGACGGACAGAGTGTTTTTGTGGAATATAGATTTTTTCTCCCAGCGCCTTATATCCGTAATTCGATCCTGGAGGGAAACGATGGAATAAGTGCAGAGCTGCTGTGGCATGGATAGATGGCTGTGCAGCTTTTGCTCTTTCTACAAGGGCTTGTTGATGGACACAGAGTGCGTTAATAAAACACTTGTCCACTTTGCGCATCAAAACAGTGGAATGTGAAGAGCATATAATCAATGATTGTGGACAGGTCAGGGTGCTCCCACTGCCTTTCTCACTCTTCTCCCTTTTAAATCCAGATGCTAATGTTTTTCTATCTGCAAAGGCAGTGGTTTGCTCTGCTCCAGAAACTAATATAAAACCTAATATCTAAATCATTTATATTCAGTGGTTTTAAATTGTTTCTATGTATTCTATATTTTCTCACCTTACTATGGATGGATGTTTTTTTTTTTTCCCTTTTGTGGATGGTCACCTCATGCTGCCAACCCATTTTTTTTTTATCCTTGGAAGAAAATGATCAGCCCCATATAGTTTATTAAGTAGCGAGAGCAGGAAGAGCCATACTGCTTGGAGCGAACCATCCGAATGGAACATAAAGCGCAGACTCTGGGCTAAGAAGGTGCAGAGACACATTTCTGCAGAAGCGCAGCTGAAAGATCAGAGCAGTTTGTCAGAGTTCAGGGTGCAGTACCAGACAATTCTGGGCTATTTTTTCCCCTGCTGCCATGATCCATCTGTGGTCATGCAGAATTTGCCCCGCTGCACGCCAGGTGGTGGACATGACCAAACAAGACGCAGCAGCACGGCTGATACTGCTTAGCTTGTCTAACAGATTACAGCACAATATTGATGAGGATTTTAAACTTCTGACCAACCAACGCTAACTTTTATTACGTCTCGTCTCATCAGTGAAAATTTTTGTCTATGACTAGTCATGTTAGTCATCAAGATATATTAGTCATCAAAGATCCATGTTTAGCTAATTAGTTTTCGCTATCGTCAAGAAAAAAAGGAGCTTTGTCCTAATTTCATTGTCATCGTTGACGAAAACAACACTGGTAACAGGTGAAGTAGATTTTTTGATCACTGCTCCAAAATAAAGGAATCCTCTATTTTTTTTTTTTTATCTTTCAGATAATTTTTATTGGTCTTATCTGATCCTTAGTGGGTTTTTTTTCGTCAGATGTAGTTGAAGTTATCATACTTAAATGGTAGAACTATTACATTTAGGCTTTAAAACATAAGTCAGAGTGTAATTAACCTTGATTGAGAAGGATGGCCTTTTAAACCCGCTCAGCTAGACCAGGTTAGTCAAGAAGGAATGTATCCCGCAAACTGAGGGGGAAAAAACTTGTGAAGGAAATTGTAAATGTTTTACGCAAGCAATAGAGTTTTAGGGCAACACTATAATTTTTTTAAATAAATTTATACGCACTCTGTAATCTGAATAAAGTTAGAATCAGGTCTGGCATTTAGCAAATACAATCAATTTAACAAATAATAGGCTGACTTGAAAAAGCCCTATATAAGTACAAGTACCATTTACCATTAGTTACTCTTTAGCACTGACACAATTTGGTCGGTTCTATTAAAAGTACCAAATTCTCTACCCATCCCTAGTTTTCTTACATGTGAAATATCTGGTTTAAGCCATTGGTACAACAACAAACTAAATATAAATAATATAGAAATATGGAAGAACTGGATGCCATCAGGTTTTCTTCATTAACAATGTTAAGATCATTTGAAACCCCTTATAAATTGTCTCTTATTCATTTGCCCTTTTGCAATCCTGAATCTATCCTGTTCAAAACAGGTCAAACTCTGTGCAGAACCCCTATGTTCACATGTAGCGCGGTTATTTTACCTCTTCCAGGTCGTACCTCGACATGCTGAAGGTCATCATGTTTAGCTACCTATTCTGGTTCGTCCTCACCATTATCTTCATTACGGGGACTACCCGGATCAGTGTCTTTTGTATGGGTTACCTGGTGGCCTGCTTCTACTTCCTGCTTTTTGGTGGTGACCTGTTGCTAAAGCCAATCAAGAAGATCCTCCACTACTGGGACTTCCTGATCGCCTACAACATCTTTGTAATCACAATGAAGAACATTTTGTCAGTATGTAAACTTACACCTTGACACCAACAAACACTGGTTTAAAAAGTCTCAAGCATTTAATGCTTGCAGTATTTATTACAAAGGGTGTTTTCTTTTGTTTTTTTGTAGATCCTGGCTTGTGGCTACATCAACTCCCTGATCCGGAACCAATGCTGGTTAATCCAGTTGTTTAGTCTGGCATGCACCATCAAAGGTTATGAAATAAACTCAGAAGAATATAAAGATGGTGAGTGAACAAATTCTTTAATCACCAGCTAAGATCCCATTTATTTAATTTATAACCTAATACCCAAAATGTGTTCTGAAAAAAAGTCTAAGAAATTGAAGTTGCTCCCTTCTTTGATTTAAATATCTCTATCTAGGTGGGTTTAGTGTACTTGTCAAAGTTTAACACCACCATTCATTTGAAGGGAATAGAGAATACTGTTGCAATACCCTGACAAAATGTGTTGTTGTTAGTTAATCTTTAAAATCTGCTTGGTTTACTTTTGTATAATACGTTTTTTCACAATGTGAAAACACAAAAACCTTTTAGGGCAATGTTAACGAAGTCTCTTAATAATGACTAACAGGACTTTTGTTGCGTGTTCTCTGCTTAATACAAAAAGAATTTCATTGTATGCAAACTTACTTTGAATTTGAAATCTAAACATCATCTGTTTGGAGAAAATAACTAGAGGTAAAGAGTAACAGAGCACATTTACTTGAGTACTGTATTAAAATAATTATTTGATTACCTTTAATTTACTCTTATGTTTGTTTGTTTTTTGGAGGGGGGTTTAATAACTTTCACTTCACTACATTTCAAATTGTATATTGTGCTTTCCACTCCACTACATTTGTAGGAAGCTAGTTGTTGTTCATTTTGGCTCCGCTTAGCTTTGTTATCAGCAATTGCTGTTTTTCTTTCTTAAAATGCAATTGGCCACAGAATCTTTCACTGAAAGGTCATCCTTAAGAGAAGATACCCTGGAAGCTTTAGTTATCTCACTTTTTCAAGACACCTGGGTCAAATGGTAGCTCGTTAGCAGGCATATGCAGAACTCTGACATGCTGAGTTGTTCGTAACTACCTCCAGGGAGAAAAACTAAAACATGCAAGATAGCAGCGCTTGAGGACTGAATTTGTAAACTACTGTTTTAGAGATTTGCATGACGTTCCACATACGTGAAAAGCTTAAGGCAGATATAATTTGTAGTTCCATCCATCTATCCATCCAACGTATTTTCTCCTGCTTATTCCTTGTGAGGTCTGCGGAGGGGCCGGTGCCTATCTCTGGCAGTCTGTGGGTGAGAGGCGGGGTACACTCTGGACAGATCGCCAGTCTGTCACAGGCACAAAAAGACACACAACCATGCACGCACACTCTCACACCTAAGGAGATTTTAGAGAAAACAATTAAGCTAACAGTCATGTTTTTGGACTGTGGGAGTGTGTGAGAGTACCCAGAGAACCCACGCGTGCACATGGAGAACATGCAAACTTGATGCAGAAAGATCGCGGGCAAGGAATCAAACCCAAAACCTACTTGCTGCAAGGCAAGGCGAGGGCGCTGACCACTGTATCACCATGCAGACTCTATTATTTGTAGTTTACAAATTGTATTAAGCTGACCTTATTTGACCTTGAGTACAAATAAGTGTATCATCTGCATATATGAAAATCACATAGTTTAAATACAGAATATAAATGTTTTATAAACTTCCTAATAGGCATAGGCCCAACAAAGGGCCCTGTGGGATACCGTATTATTTGGATGTAAAGGCTGAAAATAGCACAAGACAGAATGAAATTATACATTTGAAAACTAACACAATTAGAATAGTGGCTCTTGAGATACATTTATTGCCCTTTGAGAGTAGATTAGGGATAAGTGCTGAAAGTTTTTTTTTTATCTCTCTTGCCACATCCAGCCATCAAAGACTGTGAGCTGCCCAAAGATGAGGCAGGCATAATATGGGACAGTATCTGCTTCGCCTTCCTGTTGCTGCAGAGACGTGTCTTCATGAGCTACTATTTTCTCCACGTGGTGGCAGATATCAGATCATCTCAGATCCTCGCATCCAGGTACTACAAAAAGCACTCCATTACCAGAGAGAGGAATAGTGACATTTTAAGTGCTTTATTTTATTCTGAACTGTTGTTGTTTTTGTGTTATATTGTGGTTATTATTATTATTTTATGTATTTAATAAGTGAATGTAATTTAACTACAGATTTGTCTGAAGGGAGATGAGAAATGTTTCCTGATTATCAAGCAAAACATTAATAATGCTTTCAGGTTAGATTTATAAAACGTTAGAGGAATTAAAATAGAAATTTAATGTTTCTGCTTTCCTGATACAGACTGGGAAGAGCAGGATTAAACCAGTATTATTGCACAAAGTGGCTCTGATTTTTTTCTTTTTTTAATGTTTTTGTGTTTCAGAGGAGCAGAGCTTTTCCAGGCCACTATAGTGAAGGCAGTGAAAGCCAGACTGGAGGAGGAGAGCAAATCTGTAGAGCAGCTAAAGCGACAGTAAGACTCTCTATTTTTACCTTGTGGAAGCTGCTCTTGATTTGATGGGAGTTATTATAAGGGATATCTTTTCAATCTCCTATTAAAAACTGAGTTCTTGTTGAAAACAGAGATCTAATGTTCAGTGGGATACACTCAGTGTGTCTTAAAACTGCTTTACCTAAATTATTTCTTAGTATTTTAACATTTTTGCAATGAACACAACTTTTCAGCTGGATGTCATTAATGTCTGTAGAAGCTCAGCCATGCAAAAGAAGAACCTTTGAAGGG